TAATCACTAAAATGAACCTTCTGGCTAAAGGTAGAGGGGAGGCAGTGGGGTTCACAATTTAATCCAGATTTACAGATTTAAATAGAGAAGCAACAAAAGAGAAATTAATTGGATGTCGAGTGATTATGTAAAAATACACATGCCGATGAAAAATCTGATTCTGTTTCACAATTTCACGGACAAAGTTTGAAATCAGCCCTTATGAGGGACCACAAAGATGTAGTTTATACTTTCTCGTGACCAAAATGTGACACGAGATGGTCATAAAGAGACGCACAGCAAGCGAGAACAGGCTAAAAATTAAATGCAAGGCAGATGACCATTTCCAGACCACAGTAGTATAGACACATAGTTACAAAACGATGCTACACAAGAAAAACTGTTGGCAGGAAACGTGTAAATATACAAAATACCGAATACTGAAGAAGTCTCTTGGACGATAGACGAAACGTTTCACTAAAGAAGAACCCATCCAGAGGAACTATTTATTTTTTCTTTTTGATTTTTTTCTACCTGGATTACTGAGATGCATCAGGACATATAAAAATACCAAACAAACAAACAAAACTGCAGAAGACTAAATCTATTTAATTTGTAATGATCAAGAGGCATATTATGCGCAAATCTGATGCAGTCAACAGGTGACACTTTTCTTATTGATAAAAACTAGCGTAACAAACACGCCTCAGGGACAACAAAATGGGCATAAGTACAGCAAAAGGCACGACTCTATGTGGTTAGTAAAAACATTAATCAAAGTATATTCTTTAAAATAATTATTTAATTTCAAGTTTGCAAAGAAAAAGCTGGAAAAATTGTGCACCATACTAATACAGTGTCAAAAAATATCTTGTTTTTGAGCCATCGTTATCAGATAGTTCATCAGTTTAACACACGGATGTTGTGCTGAAAAACGCACCCTTGCCGTCAAAAGCCCCTTTGTCTTTCTACACTTTAGAATATAATTAGTTGGTTTAGAAAAGTATCAGACTTTAGGTTAAGTTTTTGTAAGGAAGCAGTCCATCCTGAAAAAATGTGGGTTATAATTAAGAAAATGTTGTTAGTGTAATCTTCTCAATGTTAACTCCTGGTCGGAAAGTGATACACTATCTGGCGGACTAGCTTGTCATAAAAGCACACTTAAATAACTGTGTCCTAAGAGTACTAAAACCCAGAGGCCAGTCTGTCACTGTTGACTTTTATACTGTAAACAAATGCCTTAAGAAGCTTTTTCCAAAACAGGGGCGCTTTACACGCTAGGGGTGCCTTTTTCGGCACAACACCTGCAAGTTGGACCCAACTAGCTTCATGGCGACGTTATCAAATTGAATATTTTTTTAGCTTAAAGTGCATGACAGCTGCCTTACAAAGTACACCGGTATGCCGCAAGCTGACTTTTTAGTTTCAAAATAATTTTAACAAATAAGATTTTCTGTTAATTGTGCTGTCATGTGAACTGTGTCCAGCTAAAGCTTGCTAAACTGCTCAGAACCGCTGTAGTAGCGAACACTAGCATAATAGCGGCTAACTGTCTAGCTATAGCTGAGCTACCATGCGGCGATAAGAAGCTCGAGTGTTGGGGGGGAACCCACAAATGAACGCAAACAAGTAGTGGGGGAAAACATGTATGTGAGACATTTTCTTCATCATGCTATATATCTCAGCTTTATCACGTGTAGCTGATTAGCAGCTGTAAGCAACATGTTAATGTACCATTACACTGCAACAGGCAGACATTCTTACTCCCCGGTACTGGTGGTGATAGGCATCCTAACTTTCCCCCCGAGATACAAAGAGGCCGTATTTAAACCCCAGGTAGCACAGTTACACGAAGGCTTCAGACACCGAGTCATATAACCCCCATCTTCACTGACCTTGCTGTCTCCGTTGCACAGAGCCATGGAGGACTGTCCGTGTTGAGTAGAGAAGCTGTCCCCTCCGCCTCGCTGTCCCGGGTCTCAGAGACGGTTAGCTCCCGCCTCAGAACGCCGACTACTGTTGGGAAAGCAGTAGTTGTAGGTCAGAAGATGCCGCCGTCTCTCCTCCTCCCTACGAGGAGGGAGTTTTAACAAACAGTGGAAGAAAACAAAACAAAGACATGTAGCCTGCACCAGTGGTTCCCAAACTATTTGTCTTCTGGCCCACAAAATATCCATGGCAAAAACTTGTGACCCCAAAAATTACTGGTCTGAATACATGAACTTTGTTGATAACCCTAAACACACAGGCTTTTTTTTTTTTTTTTTACAATATAAACAGATTATACACATATATAAATACTTATTTTGTGTTTTTGTAATAATTATAGGGAAAATATTACATCAGCAATTATTTTATTATTCTTTAAATTGATTTCTGGAGATTATCCAAGGTGCTTCATGACCCATAATTGGGTCCCAAGCCCAACTTAGGGAACCAAAGTGCAGTGGTTCCCAAACTTTTCAGCTTTTGACCCACAAAATAACAGTAGCAGAGACCTGTGCCCTCAGCTATTTTTGGATGATAAACATTTGTATCAGGTCAACAAAACATGGGCATAGTAAAAATATTTTATACAACATTTATTCATTCTAAATAGACTAACATCACTCCTTTGTACAAACTAAGGCAAAAATACAAKTGATTCAGAAAATCTTTTCAGGACCCCACCTTGATGTTTCGGGACCCCACTTTGGGTCCCGACCCCAACTTTGGGAAACACTGGCCTACACTCTTCACACTAAAAAACACAATCCAATAAGAGAGGAGCGTCTTTCTTGCTAAATAATAATAATAATAATAATAATAATAATAATAATAATAATAATAATAATAATAATAATAATAATAATAATAAAACTCAACGGGAAAAAACAAAAACCTTTTTATGTAGTTACTTTGATTAAAAAAACAAAAACAGAAAGATGTTTCAAAATACAAACTTTGAATGCATACATAATTTGGGGAAATTGTGAAACTAAAGCTGAACAATGGGTTCAGATTATTTCCTGATTTTAAATAATTTAAGAACGCAAGTAGAAAGAAAGTTCTCTCTGTAAAGTAATGGCAAAATAAAAAAGTAGATGGAACATTATATCTTTAGCAGTGCTGTATCTACCTCGAAGTGTTAAAAGTACACGTGTCTTAGCATAAAATTACTTTGATAAAAGTTAAAGTTTTCTTGAGGAATATTTCTTGATTAAAAGTCTTAAAGTTTCTGTTATTTTTGTACTTAAGTATCAAAAGTAAATTTCTGACATTAAATCCGGGCAAGGATTACAATTAAAAGTACTGAGTAAAAGTAAGTGGTTAGATTTTCCAAAATGACATTTATTGGGAGGTGACCTCTGTAGGGGTCACCTCGAGTGAAGACACAAGATTTACTGCCTCGAAGCAGGCCTTGGACAGGCTTGACGAGAGGACAGGAAATCTGTCACAAACTGAACTCTATTTAGGCCATGACAGGTATAGTATAAATGAAACTGATGGTGCCATAGTATAGTTCTAAAGTATAGTRTAGTATGAGTTACAATAATGTATAGACATTTTTTACTTTAAATATTGCCAAATCAATGATTTTTAGACAGTGTTTGTCACAAAGTGGTGGTTAGATTACTTGGTCGGAAACACTAACCATATATTAAATACATAACAGATTAAATGGCTATCTTAAGTCACAAGCACTTATAAAGGATAAAATATCTATCTACATATGTTTTCTAAAAATTGAATTTTGGCTCAGAACAAATATAATTAATAATAATTTTAAAAAAGTGTTCATCGTAAAAATGATGAAAGTGTAAGATGTCATGGTGCTGTAACACAGAGGTTCTCAAACTGGGAACCCACAACCCCCAGGGGTCCACAAGAGGTATCTTGGGGGTCCTCAGAAAATTTCACTAAATCGTTAATTTGGTTTTTATTTTTTTTAAATGCACGGAGAACAATGAACTAATAAAACAAACATAATAAACTTAATGCAAATACTGTATTCCTATGGCATTTAGGGGTTGAAATTACGATAAATTATCTTTTAAAACAGTATGGGGTTTATGATAGGGTCCCTGGATTTTTATTTTATTTTATTTATTTTTTTGCCCTTATAAGGGTCCCCAGACCCAAATGGCTTGAGAACCCCTAACAAACCCATCTTTAAAATGGGATGAGAAAACTATGGGCATTACTTTGACTTATTATCCCTTTGAGACTGATCCTCCTTAATGAGCAGTTTGTCCTGCTTTTATGACACACTGGTACTCACGTGTATGTGTGCGGTCACCTGTTTTCTGTTGGGATAAGCAGCTTCACATGAGCTCTCAGCAACCGCACAGCTGAACATGCTGTTATCCATTACTGCTAAACTAAATGTGGGGTCACATACGTCATAACCCCAAACAAAGGCATCTTTGATCAAGAAGGACGTGTTACTTGAATTTTTATTTAAAATATCTACAGAATTCAAGTTTGAATGAATTGCTTTAAATACATTCACCTTAAATTTTGTGATGATTGCTGGTGCATTTTTATTTTAAATTTTTTTGTTGTTGGATTGGGCTATATTTGAAAAATGCATTATAAAATATTCAGGATTATATCTGGGATAAGAAGACGACATGCATACTAAACAGGAGTTAGTAATATAGTTCACAAGAACAAAATCAATGTCTTTCAAGTAATGAATAGGCTTTAAAAAGTTGCTCTGACAATAATTTGTTTTATTTTGTTTCATAATTTTTTTATTTATGTAGTTTACATTCACATTTATTTGATTTAGTTTAATATGTAAGTTTAGTTTTTAGATATCTGCAATTGCATTTTAGTTTTTGCTTGTTTATTGTTTTTGTTTGTATCAGCTGTTAAAATTTGAACTATTTTTTAACATGTTAGTCTTCCTATAATTGAATATAAATTAATAAATTTTATTTTTAATATTGCAGCGGAACTTTACGCAGCGTCGTTTGGACACGTCAGCTGAACGCGCCGGACACATTTATATGCTGCACACCATGAACTTCCTGGCCGGGCTGTGTTGATGTCCACCGATATTCCTTGTTTTAAGTTAAACGGTAGTTAATTTCTGGTTTTTCTTTCTTTGTTTAAATGCTGCCGACCTTTAACTGAATAATTCTAATAAATAATAATTTAATTGTCTTGGTAATCCATCCGTCTGTGTCCGGTTCTTTGATTTAGCATGCTGTTATCACCACCAGGTAATGCACGAATTAATCACTTTTCTTTTGATTTTTAAGTATGTCTTTTATGTTTTGATTTCGAAACATGTTTTTACTGTAGCTTATTTATCATGTCTTGTTTTTTTCTTACGTGTTACTAATTGTTTATATGTCAGCTGCTAACTTTTGGTTTCATTAAATTTGTTCATTCACTTATTTTCTGATAATGAAATTTGCGACCCGCAGCAAGATGTTTTGTTGTTCACTGGAATCACCAGATTCACAGTTTAATTGATAAAAAACAAACAAAAGAAAAGAAAGAACCCCCACTATTTATTACTCAACTATGACATGTTGAAGAAGGACAGGTTGTAGTAAATCATTACACAAAAATCTCTCCAAAATGCACTTTAATTTAAATCCATTAATCTTTTTTCTTCTTCACTCTACAGATCTGTTGAGGGCTCAGTGAGTTTGATGCCCTCAGCTCCGCCATGGAGCACTCTGATTTGACCACGCGCAGCAACGGGCGGCAGAGGAAGCCGGCAGGTGCCAGCTTCCCACCTGGACACGCGAGGGGCATGGGCAGGGAGGGGGAAAGCTCCTCTGAGCCAGATATGGGAGACGAAGAAGCAGATAATCTGATCAGGAGTTCGGACTCTGAGGACAGGAGGCGACCCAGGACCCGGCCCGGAATTCACGGAGAGTTGGGGAACGTGTTGCTCCTGTTGTTCCTCTACGTGCTGCAGGGGATTCCTCTGGGACTGGCTGGCAGCATCCCTCTGATCTTGCAGAGTAAGAACGTCAGCTACAAAGACCAAGCTTTCTTCAGCTTCGTCTTCTGGCCGTTTAGTTTGAAGCTTCTGTGGGCGCCGCTGGTTGACGCTCTGTACTTCAGCAGGTTTGGCAGAAGGTATGAAACAACCCTGTATTCTAAGTAAGCTGCTGTTTTATTTTTCCCTGTCCATTTTTTAAAACATCTGTATCCTTTTAACACCTATGCTGCAGAAAGTCGTGGCTGGTGCCAACACAGTACCTGCTGGGTCTCTTCATGCTCTATCTTTCTGGAACAGTCGATTCACTCCTGCAGAACAGCAGAGGTCCAGATGTGGGAATCCTCACCGCTGTCTTCTTCATGCTTTCCTTCCTGGCAGCCACACAAGTAACGAATAACTACAAATGGACCGACGCTACATTGAGACAGATAAATGCACTTTTCTCATCTGTTTTGCTCTTTGTGTGTGTAAGGATATAGCTGTGGACGGCTGGGCCCTCACCATGTTATCCAGAGAAAACGTGGGCTACGCGTCTACATGCAACAGTGTAGGTCAGACCGCTGGCTACTTCCTGGGAAACGTACTCTTTCTGGCTCTGGAATCGGCTGACTTTTGTAACAAATACCTCAGAATAGAACCCAAAGACACAGGAATTGTCACCTTGCCAGGTATTTTGTTTGTTGTTGTTGTTGTTGTTATCGTCTTGTAGACTCGTGGTGGACAACCCTGATCCTGCAGGCTCTACAGGTTTCTCTGCTTTGACACATCTGATTTGAATGGATGAGTGATTAACAGGCTTTTGCAGAACTTGAAGACTTGCCGAAGAGCAAGGAAACAAGTAAAACCTGCAGGATAGGGACCAGGATTGGACACCACTGTGTGTTTTTGCACTGACTGGTTACGGTTAAATATTTGTGTCATTTTGTTTCTCTTCTGCTGCAGACTTCTTATTTTTCTGGGGAATGGTCTTCCTGGTTTCCACCACTCTGGTAGCCATCTGTAAAAGAGAAAATGGACACGGCAGAGAGAGGAATGACCCAGAGGAGACACAGGGTGTCATGGAGACCTACAAACTGTTGTTCTCCATCATCAAAATGCCTACAGTCTTCACCTTTTGTGTCCTGCTGCTCACAGCTAAAGTACGTCACTGATGTTTGGCTGAACACTGATCAGTTAATAAGGGACGTCCTCGGTGAAAGCGAAGTTAATTAGTGTCTCGCGTGTGTGTTTTAGATGGGCTTCTCTGCAGCAGATGCAGTTACAGGTCTGAAGCTGGTGGAGGAAGGTGTTCCTAAAGCACAGCTGGCACTGCTGGCAGTACCCATGGTGCCTCTGCAAATCCTTCTGCCTGTGGTCATCAGCAAGTACACAGCAGGGCCGCGACCTCTCGATGTCTTCTACAAAGCCTTCCCATTCAGGTCGGAGCTCAGACACGAACTCATCGACGACGTGTTTATGTTCAGTAAAGTTAAAATGATGAAGTTGTGTTCTGGTTGGCAGGCTGCTCATAGGGCTCGAGTACGCTCTGCTGGTGTGGTGGACCCCCAGCGTGAAACAGGAAGGAGGATTCCCAGTTTATTACTATGCCATCGTGCTGCTCAGCTATGCATTACATCAGGTGGGTTATTTCTCTGCTGTTGATCTGCTAGTTTCTGGACCGGACCATCACAGCTGCACAAGAACCAAACTGCATTTAAAAATAGTTATTAACTCTCTGTCCGGCTTAGTTTTAGCTGTGTGGGTGTTTTCAAGGCATAAAAGTGTTTTTTTAGTCTCATTTAGTGAGGTTTTTTTATTTTAGTTTTTATTGCAGCTACAGAGGTGAGTAGGAATGAAGAAATTTATTGGGGTTGTTTACTGCTGACTTTTAAAAGCACTACACATTTTATAGTCTTTTCTTAGGTGAATAATTAAATATTTTTATGAACTGTTTTGTGGCTAGTTTGTGATTAAATTGATGATTTTGTGTACAGACTGGTCTGGGTGGCTATGATTATAGTTACATGGGGCAGAAGGTACTAATAGATAAGATACAGTCATATGAAAAAGTTTGGGCAGCCTTGTTAATTTTCCTGATTTACTTTTATAAATCATTGATTGTTTGTATTAAAAATATCAGTTAAATATATCATATAGGGGACAAACACAGTGATATTTGAGAAGTGAAATGAAGTTGATATGATTTACATAAAGTGTGCAACAATTGGTTAAACAAAATTAGGCAGGTGCATAAATTTGGGCACCGTGTTCGTTTTATTGATTTCAAAACCTTTAGCACTAATTATTGGAACTTAAATTTGGTTTGGTAAGTTCAGTGACCTCCATACACAGGTGACTCCAATCATGAGAAAGGGTATTTAAGGGGGGCAGTTGTAAGTTTTTTTCCTCATTGCATCTCCTCTGAAGAGTTGCAGCATGGGAGTCTGAAAACAACTTTCAAATGAGCTGAAAACAAAGATTGTTCACTGTCATGGTTTAGGGGAAGGATACAGAAAGCTATCTCAGAGATTTCAGCTTTCAGTCTCCACTGTGAGAAACATTGTGAGAAAGTGGAGGACCACAGGCACAGTTCAAGTCAAGGATCGAAGTGGCAGACCAAGAAAAATCTGGAATAAACAGAAGTGAAGGATGTTGTGAACAGAGTCAACCCACAGACCAGCACCAAAGGCTTACAACATCATCTTGCTGCTGATGGAGTCACTGTGCATCGTTCAACTATTCAGCACACTTTACACAAGGAGATGCTGTATGGGAGAGTGATGCAGAGGAAGCCTTTTCTCAGCCCACATCACAAACAGAGCTGCTTGAGATATGCTAAAGCACATTTGGACAAGCCAGTTTCATTTTGGAATAAGGTGCTGTGGACTGATGAAACTAAAATAGTTATTTGGGCAGAACAAGGGCCGTTATGCATGGAGGAAAAAGAACACAGCACTCCAACACCTGCTACCTACAGTAACATTTGGTGGTGGTTCCATCATTCTGTGGGGCTGTGTGGCCAGTAGAGGGACTGGGAATCTTGTTAAAGTTGAGGGATGCATGGATTCCAATCAATATCAGCAGATTCTGGAGACCAATGTCCAGGAATCAGAGACAAAGCTGAAGCTGCTGAAGCCAGGGCTGCTTCTTCCAACAAGGCAACGACACAAAACACTGCTCAAAATCTACTGAGGCCTTCATGCAGAGGAACAAGTACAACGTTCTGGAATGTCCATCTC